AAAAAAAAAAAAAAAAAAAAAAAAAAAAAAAAAAAAAAAAAAAAAAAAAAAAAAAAACTAATCAAAGTGGCATTTCATTGAAGAAATTGGAGGGATAAAAAGACACCTTGTAAAGAGAGAGCCAGTTTGTGGGCGTCACAGAAAACCATGTTGAAGAAAGCCTTTAAATGAAGCGTCAGTGAAAGAATATATATAGAATCGAATGATTTACCTTAGTGTGAAGAAAAGAAATTAATGTGTTTACTACTTACATAAGAGATTATAAAAAAAACGTTATCCAATATGTAATTGTGTATGTGATCTTGTATTGTTGATTGTATAGGTATATATGTAATCGTGTAAGGATTTATAACATATTTTTTTAGAAAAAGCACCTATCAGTTAAGTGTCTTAAAAAGTTTTAAAAACAATGTATGATATAGTACATTTTAACAATATTTTATGAAAGTCTACAGGCAATTCATGTAAGAATATGTGGTAATCGCATTAGAAGAAGCCCCACAGTGAACTAACTGATCGTAGGATATGGCTCCCAATTGATAACCAAAGTCAGGCATCACTAACTGACATCAGTGAACGGGTGAGTGACCGCTTTGATCAGCCTATGAAGGTTCCTATAGTGCGTGGTAACAGTAATAGTTAAAGTGTTCTACCGTAAAGGGCTCAACTTCACGCGCCGGCCGTCGGGTCATCAAAACGCGGGGGACATTAACTCTGCAGAAGATAAAAATTGTGATGGCATGTCATTAGTCCATCCACGGAGATTTTTTCCCGATTGCCGCCAATAGCCCATAGTGCAACTCTAGTGCAAAAGAAATAAAGTACTCCTACGGCTACTACCACGTTTAATGAGAATTTGCCAGTATTAATACTACATACAATACAAGGCTTCTCATCTGAATTAGTTCAATGATAAGGAAACAAGTTGAGAGTAAATGTTAACCTAACTCAGAAGACAAAGGTTCTAGAGGCAATCATTTGGAAGAATTTGACTTTTTAGATCACTTTACAAGAAAACTGACTCAGACGTGTGCTACCAAGAGTGGAAATCTCGAAAGTTTAGACCGGCAGCAATGAGACTAAATTCAAGTACCTACATCGAGACAAGAAAAAATCTGGTAAAATTACTGTGT